TTAATAGAACAAAGTATTCTTGCACTGAGGGAGTACTCGAGTAGAGGCCCAATGTCCATCTGCTACCTTAATACTAAACCTATAAATATATACATATAAATCTATTTCCCCATCATCATATATAAATGTATTTACACATGTACATTCCTGTATTTAGACCTCTGTTAATGTCCTTTGCCTCCTAGTTCTTTAATTAGCATAAAGTGCACTGAAAATAAGGATCCCTGGGGGAAGAATGCGTTATGTAAGTTTTTCCAATGCCACGAGGTCAATAGTTCAAACCCACCAACAGCACCACAGAAGAAAGAGATGAAATAAGCATTTTGAGACTTGTTACTGACTTTCAAAGTGATGAAGAGACCGCTGTGACTTGCATTTAAAAAATACAAGATTTCTGCTCACTAAGCAGGCAGTCTAACATTGAGACTGTGCTAAAACTCCACTTAGACCTTTGTGCTCCCACCTGCTTCAAGAACCTCTCTTTTGCACAAATATTGTAAAGTGATTAAAACCATTATGATTCCAAGTAGTTGAAAGAAATACCATCAATCCCTTATAAACTCATGAATAGTGCTATCTTTTACTCACGAAAAATCAGGAGGTGATAACATTATGAATGATGTTTACGTTCTTCATTACATGTCTTTGTATTCTGTAAATTCACCCCAACAATGAACACATTCCAATATTTTCCGTTCCAAACAACAAACTGTACAACAGCAAGAAGGTTAACGAGAATGTAACTGACAACTCATCACTGACTTCTGGAGAAAAGGTGACCGGAAAGGAAGCCCAGCTTCCTAAGTAAGACTCAGAAGGTGGCTCGGTGCCAGGCACAGTCGGTGGACCATCACAACCTAGCATCCACTTCATAACTCCCCGTCCCGTTTTCCCTGTATCCAAGTTCTAGAAATAGCTTCTGAGGTATGACTTTCCCAAATGGAGCTACATGGGATTGAATTCCAGTCACACCTATTTTGATGTGTTTTTTGAAATGCATTTTTTCACCATTAAAGTTTCATAATAATGCCTGTCTAATGGGAAATCAACTTGATAGCAGTGAGTGAATGGGAACTCTAAGGAGCCTTGATAGTGCAGTTGTTACACGTTGGGCGGCTAAACCAACAGTTCTAAACCACCAGCTGCTCCACAGGAGAAAGACTGGGCTCTCTACTCCGGTAAAGTGTTACAGTCTAAGAATCTCACTGGGGCACTTCTACCCTTCCTTCAGGTTCACTATGAGTTGGCACGGACTCAATGGCAGTGTGAGAGAGAAAGCAGGAATCTAAGGAACCCTGGTGGCATAGTGGGTTACGTGTTGGGCTGTCTACCTTAAGGTCAGCAGTTCCAAACCACCAGCCACTCTGTGGAAGGCAGAGACTTTCTATTCCCATAAAGATTTA